GCTTCTTTCTTCTCATGGTGGGCTCCCCTTCTTCCCAAACCAGGGACAGGCCCCACCATCATCTTCCTCTACTCTGTCTGGGGGATGACCTGTAGAATGCTGGGCATTGCACATGGTCAAACGATCTCAGCAGTTTTGGGAAGAGATGTCTTGCTGACCTGAACTGCAACTGGGCTGCTGAGGGTTCACAAGCCAGTTCCCTGTGGGGTGACCCATTTAGATGCTCTGGGACAGACACAGTGACATCCTGGTTGTGCCAATGTCTCACTTCTCTTCCCAGCCTGGCAGCATGGGAGCCTAGGCAGGCTGGCAGTGTCTGTGGTGGCACCCAGACCTGTATGGGAAGGGACAGGAGGGTCCCTGGGGGTGTTGCCAGGGCTGTGCACAGGAGCTGGTCCCCCAGCTGTGGCAGAGCAGTGTTTCTGAGAGCTGCAGCATGGGGAGATTTTGCCCACACACCCTCTGCAGCACTTCTGCTTCTGGAGGTTAGACATCCGGGGCTGGCTTTCCGGTGAACCAGTGATCTGTTCTGGTAGCAGAAATCCCCAGCTCTGCCCTGTGCTCCCCGTGTGCCGCACTCTGCTGCTCTCACCCCACCATCGCTGCCCCAGGGCCACCCCTGGGAGTGTCCCATCACCCATGGCCCGGCAGGACACGGGGGATCTGGGGGTTCTAACAGGAATGATTCTGATTGCCTCGTGCTGGGAAAAGGGGATTTTCCCTGCCCAGAAGGGGAAGCTGCAGCTGGAAGGATTCCTACCTCAAACATCTCCAAGGCCAGCATTTTTCCTGAGGCAGAGACTGGAGGCAGCCAGATGGCTTCCAGGACAGTATCCCCCTCTTCTAAAATGCCAGCTTGGTCTCTAAAAACCACCTGGCATGGATCTTTGCCTAGGCACCAGACCAATGAGAGTCTGAGCCCTCTATACTCTCATGCTGCAGGACTCATGCCCCATTTTACAGAAGGGGAAACTGAGGTATGGTGGGGTCCCTGACTCTGCCTTGCAACAAGCTTGTGATGCAGCCCTGTGGGTTTGCAGGGCACTGGGAAGTGTTTTCCAGTGGCAGAGGACTGGTTCCCACTGGAAAGGGGAGGATTTGTGGAGGGCTGTTGCCCTGCCAGGGGCCCCAGCTGTGCTGTCAGGGCAGCCTGGGCACCTTCACCTGCCCAGAGAAGGGATCCAGAGGGGCCCAATGTCTCACACTCCTGCAGCAGCCCCCCTGCCCTCCTCACCCACTGTCCCTCCTGGCTGTATCTCCCAGGAATGGCAGCTCCTGCCCCTCCAGCTGCCTCCTGGAGCAATCAGTGGGGAACACATGGGTCTTATCTACGGGCCAGCTGCGGGAAGGGCTCCCTGCCGTCCCTATCAGTGGGGCGGCTCCAGACCTGGGGCTGAGGGAAGCCAGACTCATTCCTGCTGTGCTGGGGCCAGGGCTGGGGCCATTGTCACTGCCCCACACTGACCATTGCAAGGGGATGCTCCAAGTTCTGGGACCCCTCTCCAGCCTGGTGGCTGTGTCAGTGTTGTTGTGACACTGACAGATTTGCCGGGGTCCAGCCAAGGCCATCAAGCTGGGCAGTTGTGGGTTGTGTTGGAACATTGAAGGCAGATGGTGGCAGCAGTCTTATTACTGCCAGCAGGATCCACATCCCTCATCCACTTCCACCAAACTCTCAGCAACAATTTCCTCACTGGGGAGATGCTTGCAGGGCTGAGGGGGGCTCAAAAGGGCCAGCACCCTGGGAAAGACTTTCCTTTCACAAGTCTGATAGACCTTTGTGTTTTATTTATTTCTGGAGTTGTGCTTACCCTCCTGTTCCCAGTGGCTTGGCAGAGTGCTGCTGGAAAACCGGCGGGGTGGGGATGCTGACTCTGTCCTAAACCCCAGGAGTGTGGGGAACAGCATCATCTGTGGCCATGGAAAGCATGGGCATCCCTTTGAAGAGGTGCCTGTGGAGTGTGGTTTTCCCCAGAGGTGGGTGCCAGACACCCCCCCATGCTACGGGGTGCCAATGCTCTCAGGGGGCTGGTCCTGGCTGGCACAGGGGCTGGGCAGAGTGTGGGAGGTCCCTGGGGACAGGGAGCATCCTGGCTGCTCTGTGCCACTGAGCAGGGTCTGTCCCTCTGTGTCCCGTGACAGCAGTGCCCACACATCACCCAAAGCTCAGGGTGCAGATCTTTATCGTCCACTTGTCTGGCTGTGCCACAGCCTGAGCTGGGTGTGGGGTTCTCACTCAGCATCCCAATCATCCCTGTGGCCTCAGGCTCTGGGTGGGAGAGGAGAGTATGAGAAGGAATGTGCTTTGGTCTCCTACCAGCTCCTACCAAGGATATAAATGAGGAGTTTTCTTCCCTACCATGTCCTGGCCATGGGGAAGGTGGTGATGGTCATCTGGGGCCTGCTGTCCCACTGAGGTCAGCCCCTCCACAGGGAATTAGAGACGAGTAGAAAACTGTCTAAACCCCAAATATTTGCATTTTAAGGGCTTTTCTTAATATTGGGGAACGCTGATGCAGCAGCAGTGTGGGTGGGCTGGCATGCTGAGAGGGTCTGCTTGGCTTTTTTTTGCGGGGGACGGGGGAGCAGGATTTCCACGGTCAAAGAGTTTTATTTAAAATAATTTTAAAAAAAAGCTAAACGAGCAAATGGGGAGAATTTCCAGCACTGCTGCAGGTTTCTCTGCCAGCTCCTTGGGGCAAAACAGCCACCCGGATGCTGAATGGACCACAAACATTACAACCACCCCTTGCCCTGGTTTGGTGGGTGTATGGCTCCCATCTCTGTGTTCCTTTTTCTTTCTCTGCTGAAAGGGATTTTGGCAAGAAAGGGAGTCCCTGTGGCTGCTCTGCCCTGGAGCATCCTGGAGGTCTGGGGCTGAGCCTGACCCATCTGTTGCCCCCCATGCCCATGCCAGGGGATGCTCACTTGGCAGCTTTTGGCCATGGTAGCAGCCTGTGTGGAGAACGCTGACTGGGGCACAAGGGTGACAATGGGCCCTGATGGCTTCAGGACCATACATGCCAGGCATAGACAGGGGCTGGAATAAGGCAGAAGCTGGAGGGACTCTGGGCTATCCCATCCCACTGCATTCCCCCTCTCCACACCCATTTCCGCCAGCTCCTGGGGCAGGTTGAAGCAAGCAAGGAACAGGCACGTCCTGTCCTGCTGGCACAGGGAGGGCTCAGCACCTTGGGCTGCAGGGGCGAGAGCCCTCCGTGTGCCCAGGGGACAGTTCTGGGGTGTCACCACACCCCCAGTACACTGTCCACAACACAACAGTGTGTGGGTGTGTCCTGGCCCCATGCAGGGTGGTCTTGGGCATGGTGATGGGGCTGGGGGCCTGATGCAGGTGGATCAGTGGTGTGGGTGTCACTGGTGCAACCAGCCCCAGCAGGGATGCACAGGGGAGTGTGTGCAGCAATGGAGCCCTCCTTGCACATGTGTGCATGTGTGCTGGGGCTCACTCATGGACAGCATCAATGTGTGGGGCTGTCCTCTGCTCTGGGCTTGGCCATGTTCTGCATCCCCTCACGGCTTGGCAGGTTGCTCCATGCCTCATAGCTGTACCTTGCACCTCGAGGTGTGCTGTCCTTGGGGAACGCAGGGGACCAGGGCTCAGTCAGGCTCAGGTACTACCTGAGAGCAAGAAGGATCATCGTGGTGCTACAGCAGTTGTGTCAGGGACAGCCAGACACAGGTGTGCTGGGCAAGGGGACTGCCACGTGCCCCCGTGCAGCAGGCACCCATGGGTGGTGCTGCCCTGGGGCTATGCCAGGCAGGGAAGAGGCTCCTGCACATGTCCGGGCAGTGCAGCATGTGTGGCTTCATGCTGGGGCTGGGCTCTGCTTCCCTGGGGCCAGGGATACGTGCAGATCGTCCCGGTGCTGATGGACCACAGGGAGATGAGCACCAGGCGGATGGATGAGCAGGACAGCAGGACTGCCATGACATAGCCTGCAGTGACTGTCACATAAAGGCCAGCACAACAGATGTCCAGGAGCTGATGCATTTCTTCAGCAGAAGACAATGCTGGTGATGCAGGGGTTCTGGGTGGGAGGCCCACAATTGGTCCTATGCATGCCATGGGGCAGGAGCAGCCATGGTGAGGGGTCTGCTTGTGCAAGGTGTGGGTAATTGTGTGTGTGAATGTGAGAGCAGAGGGCTGGATGTGCATCGCGCAGTGTACCAGCTTAGATTACAGCATATAGGGCAGGAAAGCGTATGTACAGTGTATAGGGACAGGGATACGGGCCTTGGTTAATGGGGCTGAGAGGAGGGGAGTGCTAGGTGTGCACAGCACCTCGGATATGCGCAGAATCCCCACAGGCCTCCCTCCTCCCTCACCCCATTCCCTCCTCACTGAAGCATCCACACCCATTTCCTCCTCCCGGCCCCTTCCCACCATCCCACTCCATGACAACAGCAGCATCCTGCACCTGCAGCAAGGTGCAGAGCATCCACCTGGGGCCCTGGTGCCACTCTGGCTGCAGCAGAAGCCCCCTGCCAGAGGGGCAAAGGGTTCCAAGGAATCATTTTCCTTGAAGGGCTGGGAGCCGTGGACAGCCCTGGAACCCATGAGGATTCTGGGATCCATCTAAGACAAGGGTACGCTGCTCTCCTGCCTAAGCCCCCAGCTCCCCACCCATATTGTTCCCTCCGACCCCCTGGTCCCCCCCCGGGCCTGGTGCTGCTGATGTGCCCCGGTTGGGGCTCTGAGCGCTGGGCCAGCCCTGCCCTCTAGTGCCCCGGGAGCTGCTCCGTGCCGGGCTCAGCCCGGGCTCCCTGGAGCTGGGCCACCCAAAGTCCTCCCAGGGCCCGCAGGCGGTGCGGGTGACAATTGCCTTCCCGGCACCCCGGGTCGATAACCGGGTGGCCAAAGCACTCGGTGGGCCGGGACGGCGTGGGGCCACGCCAATGGGTGCCCGCAGCTGCGGCAGAGGGAGGGAGGCTCTGGTTAAAGTGGAACGAGGCGCGGCATCGTCCCGCGGTCCCTGCCCTGGGGACTCTGACCCCGTGCGCCGGCGAAGGGAGCTGAGGCAGGCAGAGACGAGCGGCCACACAGCCACGGGGACGGAGCCAGCGAGGAGCCGAACAGGATGGATCCCACCTTGGAACTGGCGGATGACCCCAGGTGAGCGCTGGAGACTCCCGTGCCGCTTTGCAGCCGGGCAAATCCAACTTTTTGGATCGGAACTTTGGATGATTCATTCCCTTTGTAAAGGAAGGGAGGCGCTTGGCGGTGAGGCGAACCAGCCAGGCTCGGACCCTGCGGGGCTGGGTGTCCCCCCGTCCCGGTGGCTCCCTGCAGCACGCCCGGTTCTGCTCCGCAGGTTCTCCCGCCCCTTGGTGGAGATGCTGATCAGGAACTTCAGCGTGCCGGCAGCCTGCTTCTCCCTGCCGCCCACCTCCCGGCAGCTGCTGCACCGTAGGTGGGGGGACGGGGTGGGGAGGACCCTCCTGTTGTCGCTGACGGGAGCAGGACAGGGATGAAGGTGGTAGAGTGGCCATGGCAAGAGCAGGCACGGGGCAGCCCCAGAAGTCAGAAACTGGGCTGCTGCCAGGGTCTTAACCTCCCATCCCATAGTCCTACCTGTAGGGACGGGGACAGCCCAGGAAGAGCCAGCACTGGGGCAGGTGTCATGGGACAGGGAATAGTGGCGCAGAAGGGCCAGCCCTGGCATAGACAGGCATGTCCAGGGCATGGCACAGAGCTTCCTAAACCTGTGGAGTGCTGGGTCGAGGGGCAGCTCCCTGTAGTAGGGGCCCCAGGGGGGAACAGACAGGATGAAGACAGCTTCTCACCCCTCCCTGGCAGAGCTGGACATGGCCCAACTCATCATCCTGGGCCTCTGCACCATCATGACACTGCTGTCGGTTGTGATCTACGTGGAAGAGGTTTCATACCTCTTCCGCAAGATCCGCTGCCCTATCAAGATGAAGACCCTCTGCTGGAGCAGCTCAGCCCCTACGGTGAGCTGGGCTGTGGGGGTGCTGGGGGGCATCACCCTGGGGAGCCAGGGCCACCCAAGGGGTGCCAGGAGGGGGAGTGTCAGTGTGCCAAGCTCACGTGTCCCCCAGGTTGTGTCAGTGATCAGCTGCTTTGGCCTGTGGTTCCCGCGCTCCATGATGGTGGTGGAGATGGCTACCACGGCGTGAGTATCACCCACCCTGGGACAGGGCACCGTGGAGCCCACACGGCTTGACCTGCCTTCCTCCTCCTCCCCAGGTACTTTGCTGTCTGCTTCTACGTGATGATGCTGGTCATGGTGGAGGGCTTTGGGGGGAAGGAAGCACTGCTCAGCACCCTGAAGGATGTGCCCATGGTGGTCAGCACTGGGCCCTGCTGCTGCTGCTGCCCCTGTCTGCCCCGAATCACCATGAACAGGTGAGGGGGAGGTGGGATAAACCTCTATCCCTGGAGGGCTTTCACCCCATGCTTCTGCTGGGTTGGAAGAGAATTCCCTGGGCAGGGACTGGGGGACTTAAGAGTGCTACTGGACTCTCTCACCATGACAGGAAAAAGCTTAAATTGATGATCCTGGGGACTTTCCAGTACGCCTTCTTCAAGGCAGTCGCTGTCTTCCTGGGGCTGATCCTGGCCACTGACGGGAATTACAACCCTGCTGACGTGAGTGCCAGAGCACAGGGATGGGCAGGTTGATGACCTAGACAGGAAGCCTCCACCTGAACTTTGTCAGCCCAGTAATGTTCCCTGTGTGTCCCCCTCAGATTTCAGGAGAGAGTGTGGCCCTCTGGATCAACACCTTGGTTGGTGCCTCCGCCCTCTTTGGGCTGTGGGGCCTGGGCATTCTCTTCCGGCAGGCCCGGCTGCACCTGGCTGAGCAGAACATGCAGGCCAAGTTCACCTGTTTCCAGGTGAGCCCCTGTCCTGCCCAGCTCCCTCCTAGGTGAGGGCTCCTGCAGCACTGATGGGGTGAGGCAGCATGAGGGAAGATGGTGGGGCAGGAGAGCCCTGCTGGCTGCACAGCGGGGAAGGTGAAGGCTGAGAGCCGGGCAGCAGCACAGCCCTCACAGCGGGGTGTTGGTGGTCGCAGATCCTGCTCCTCCTGACGGCACTCCAGCCTGCCATCTTCAGCATCCTGGCCAACAACGGCAGCATCGCCTGCTCGCCGCCCTTCTCCTCCAAGGCCAGGTCACAGCGTAAGTAGGGAGATGAGAGAGCAGCACCACATGCTCCCAGCCAGTGGCATGGCATGGGGGTGGGCATGGTGGGCGAGGGCAGCTTCAAAAGACCCTTCTCCTCTTCCAGAGATGAACGTGCAGCTGTTGATCCCGCAGACCTTCATCCTGGCGGTGCTGACGCGGATGTACTACCGCAAGCAGGATGACAAGCCGGGCTACCAGCCCGTCACCTTCACACCCACAGGCGCCGACGTCAAAGCATGACCAGGAGGGACAAACTGGGGTGCCAAGGGGCAGAGCGGGGTGAGGGGCTGGTCTACCCTGCACAGCCTTCTCCTCCTCCCCTGGCTTTGGGGAGCTGCTGGCAGCAAAAGAGGCAGAAGGGGAAAGAGCATCTTGGGACAGAAGGAAAGGGTCTGAAACCTAAAAGTCGTAAGTCAAGGGGGTCCATGGAGCCACCTCCAGCCCTGGGGCTCTTGTCTAGCACTGAGTAAAGATAAATTTTTACTAGAGTCTTGCATTGGTGACTGGCTTCATATTAGTGGGTGGGAGATGACTCCATACAGGGGGAGGAGGATGGAGCCCAGACTAACACAGCCAAGCATGGGACCATCATGGGATGCCCAACATCCAGCTGTGACACTGAGCTCTGGGTGCTGCCGGCTGGGGTCCCACAGCCAAGGCAAGCCCAGGCCAATGGTGATTTCTCCCAAGATATCAGGATGGGTCTGACCTGTCCCTGGGGTCTGTTCTCCGTGGGACTGGCTGCTCCTGAAAGCACACCGAGAACATCCACACCTGCCAGTTACGTGCCAGGCAAAGGAAGGAGCCTTAAAACACCTTCATAACACTGGCAATTAGTCAATGCTGCCTTAAGCAGCCTTGGTCCAGTACCAGTATCTGCTCTAGACATGGGGACGGACATCAGGAGCAATGACAATTTGCAGAAACCACTAGGTAATCTTTTGACCCCAAGTGTTCATTACAGATGCCAGAAGCACAACTCAGATCATGGTTTCAAATGAGCAGATCACATGTTAAAAACAGCAAGAGCATTCTCCAATGCTCTTATTTCTTGCACTTCTGAGAAATGCATCCCTGGCACTTCTCAGTTCTGTCCTGTTGCTGCTGTTCTCTGCCATCAGAAAATCTTTTCCCAAGGGCTCACCCCAGTTCTACAGAGGAAGTGAAACAGGGCTGTTTCACGAGAGTAGAGGCCTCTAGATTTGGCAGCATCAAACTCCACAGGGTTCTTCACTGCATGCTAGTAAACTTTTGTTTTTCCACTGGACCTTTTACTTCATGTCTTTTCTGGATGCTTCTTTTGAAGAGTGATGGATGGCTTAGAGGTGTGCAGAACAGCCCTGAAGCAGCAGCACTGGGTGTATCTGTGGAAATGAGATGATCCTGGGGAACTTGGCTTATGTTTTGCTGAAAGATCAAGCTCTTACCTATTCCTGATAAAACATGACAGTGCTGGAGAAGACTGGTCCAGCAATCCAGGAGAAAACAAAACAAAGTAAAAATACAGGACTAGACTGGGATTTCAGTGTCCAATTTAATTTCAGTGCAAGGAGGAAGCAGAGATTATTGGTTACAAGAAACAGCTCTATTATTCCAAGCTACATGTAAAACCATGGCTGGCTTCTTACCAAGCACCCCAGATTTTGCAGAGAGACCAAGTATGTTAAGGTCTCTGCAGAACAAGCCACCATCCAGAACACCACTCAAACTTACAGAACACTATTGCATAACTTGTTTAAAACAGTATAAGGCTCTAAAGCAGCCTGGCCTTTGTGATCTGGCTCAGGGAAGCAACCCAACATCCATACTGAGGGAAGGGTGAGGAAGGGACAATGAGGGAAGGGACAACGTGGTTGATACAAATAAGTGTTCTACCACTCAGAAACCAGAGGATTAACAACTGGCTTCTAGCACGTGACTGTTATTTGCTCCTTAAAGTTTAAAATCCACAGCAGCCAGCCATGCTCCCACAGCTGTGCACATCCCTGCTGAAAGAGGTCCAAGTGGCAGATTAGTGATCCCCAAAATACCCTTTCCCATACTGGCTCTGGCTTTAAGAGAAGCACATAACGTCTGTCAAGCCCTTTGGGCAGTGTGACAAAAGACCACCAAGACAAAAGCAGGAAAGAAGCTGCAGTCTGTTCCTATCACAGGGCCACCACGTGCTCTGAAAGCATCACAGTGTGCAGAGCTCGTGGCAGCACTTGATGAGTTTCTTCCTTGCACGTGCTGCTCCCCAGGCCTCACATCCTGCTCTGGACACCTCCCGGCAGCATTGCTGACAGGGCTCTGAGCTGTCCTCTGTTCCCAGCACCACAGGATACAGGCAACTCAGCCCAGCAGCTCCACCCAGAGACAGTGGGTATCAGAGGCAAACACTGGCAGAAAAGCTCCACAGCTACATGACAGCAAGGCCAGTTTCTCCAGTGCTGGCTGCAGGACAGGGTACACCGACCTGCTCTGCTCAGCCATGAGGAGGGCAAGTCCCCTTGGGGAGCCACAGGCCACAAAGCTCAGTGTGTATCACAGACACAACAGCAGGCACAACTTGGACCATAGACTCAAACGAGCATTATGCGTTTAAATAACCTTAAAAAGCTGCAGCACTCTCTGATGCTCCTTTCATCCTGCCTCGTGGAGCAGAGTGAGCAGGCATGGATTTGTGCATGTACTGCACAAGCCAGGTAACTGTCACACAGAACTGGGGCCCTTCATCTGTCCAGCTGCACACACTGACATCAGCAGCAAACTGGCTGCTTTGCCCTTAAAGCAGCGACTTCATGGCACCAGTGTGAAGGACTCCTTCAGCCCCTAGAGCACAGCAGCTGAAACACAGACAAACACACACAGAGCACAGTGCTGAGGGACCGTTTGAACAAACACTAAAACGTGTAACACACCACAGACTGGAACAAGGAATTTCTCAAAAGACTAGACACATTCATTTCCTACCTGGGCTCTCACACACCCAAGGAAATGCAAGACAGCAAATGCCCTGAAGCAAAGATTCATTCTCTTCTCTCCCAACAGCAACTGAGAGCTCAATTTTAACTCAGGATTTAGCAGTCTTGTTAAGATTAGCTGGAAAGGCCCTTCCCCTGCAGCTCCTCCACTCTTTGGAGCTGTGAATGCCGTGCACTTTATGGGGTATGCCACTCTACAGTGCTGCAAGTTCTTCCCGGGTGTAACTCCTGCGTGCCAAGCTGGTATCCCCTGCCCAGCACGTCCTCACTGCAACACACTGGGAAGCTCAGTTAAGAGGCATGCAAGCAGTACAGGGTCTGCTGGATAGATTCCTATCAGCTCCAGCCCAGCAGGGATCTCTCTATTTCCTAGAAACCTCATTACACCACTGCTCTGTGCATGCTCTCGAGGTCATGCTGGTTGAGGAACTGAGGGGTCTTTCATTTGGCAGTGGCACAAATACTGCCTGGGGATGGAGGGCATAAGACAGAGGAGCTGAAGGAAAGAAGAGACAGATGGGTCTTCCCACTCTCCCTCTTGCCTGAACGTTTAACAAGGGAAAAGAAACCAAACCAAAAGCCACACTTGAGTGCTATTCCTTGCCCTTTTAACAAATATTTTCTTAAAATATAAAAACCATCTTCACCCTGGAAACCACTAGAACGTAAACAATAAAAAGGGGATTTAGGGAGAGGAGGTTTCAATGTGCTTCCAGGCAGCAGCCCTTGCTAAGAGCAACAGGTACCTCCAAGGTCCTGTGCTCACCATCAGCCCTGTTCCTATGGCTCTCTTGCTCATTTAGAGTTGCCCAGTGGGTCTGGACTTAGGATTCAGCGATTAGCGGTCTGCAGCAAATCCTGGCAGGTAGGTTAATCCTCTTCATCCTCACTGATGTCATAGGTGACTGCAGACTCGTTCCTGGAGCGGTTGGCAGGTGAGGAAGGAGGAGTCTTGGAAAAAGGCCAGCGGAAGGAGGGAGATGGGGAGCGGTCGTGTGTGGGGCTGCTGCTGGGACTCTGCTTTGGGCTGATGGCCTGCAGCATCCGGCCCTTGCCCTCCTTCAGCATGTGCTTCTGGTGAGGGAAGCAGAAGGACATTTAGCATGGGTTACACAGGCATGGAAATGGACACTACTTACAGCCTGTGCAGCACTTTGAGTTGTGCCCCTTCAGAACCTCGTGCTATTTAAGAGCAGAAAAAGCCCCAGCATTTTCTGGGCTTTGGAAACTGCACACAGTGTAATCATCACTAATTTTCAAGCACTGTGATATTCACCCAAGAGTGCAGGAAAGCCTGGCATAAACAAGTAGCTTCAGACTCATGTTAGCCCAATGAATAAGTGACCATCATCCTCTTGGCAGCTCAGCAGTGGTCAGCAGGGCACAAACTGGAGTTTACAGGCCAGCTTGTGGGACAGGGGAGTTTTTTCACTCTACAATGTAACTGGCATTATCTTGTTGGCAATGGCAATGAGTACTCCCTGAAAACAAGCTGCCCAAGCCTGGGACAACTTGTCTGGAGACTGGCAGTACACCGAGCACTGCAACAAATGCCAAACATTTCCTCTGCAGACTCTGTAGAAGCCCTACAATGTCTGTTAATGTCTCCAAAGTTCCCTTTCCCCTTTTCCCAGAGCAACTCCTTACCAATGCGCCTTCCGGGCCAAACATCTCCAGGAAATTGCCGATGAACTCCCGGGACTTCTCTTCCCACTTCTGAATGAGATCAATACTCTTCTCTTCCACTTTCTGGACAAATTCCTTTGACTTCTCCTCTACATCCTTCACCCTCTTTTTCACCTTATCCACACGTTCCTGGAGGTGATATTTTTTCTCCTGCACAGAGAGTGGTGGATCAGAATACAGCTTACCAGATTTGAGTGGAGACCATCCCTGCCCTGTGTCACTACACTGAACTGCTGCTTGAGACTCAGCATCTCCATTAGTCTGGTGACACTTCTCCTTCACTTCCATGACACTTCTTTCCTAGACTACATGGCAGACACAGTGGGGCTGTGAGACAGTCTGTGACAGGCACTGGCATAGAACACAAAGCAAGATTAAAGCTAGAGATAAGCACTATCTAATAGGAGTGCATGGAAGAAGGAAATATTTATACAGCACACAGATTAGATTGGAGTGCCTTGCTGTAGGTCTCTATCACAACAGCATCAGTCTTTCTGCTGGGTGTTTTTAAACAGAGGCAGAGTTATGTGCCAAAGAGAGGCCAAGCAGCCGTTACCTCTCCTGTTTCATTGCTGTTCACAGGCACAGTATCTGAGTGATAAAAAAAATGTTTACAACTTCCAACATCAAAAATGTCTTCTGCCAAGTATCCTTTCTGAGGGCTACAGCTGCACAGCACAGGAGCAGGGCATATCCTTCTGTCCTACCCAAGCACTGTTGCTCCTGCAGCTCCAGGAAGGGAACAATACAGTGGAAACAGCATCAGATTTTATCCTAATAAATGACTCTACCCTAAGGAGGTGACTGGGGGAAGAGGAGAGAGATGAGACAGCAACTGTTGTAAATA